TGTCAAACGTTTGTAATCTATCAGAAACATTGTTGAATAAAGAACATGATAAGTAAAGAAACAAAACCTGACATTTAGCCTGATTCAGTGATCCGTGGACAAAATTGATTTTCATGAATTTTGGGAACAACTCTGTATCTCCCGAACCACAAAAGCAAAATTGTGATGCGATCAAGCTAAATGAGTCATTTGTCGGGAATTTTCATTTGGAGATTCAGGCCAAAATAGGGCGACTTCATCACATCACTTCATCAGAGCTCTTGGTGTTCCAACTTCCATAATTTTTGAACTAAAGATGGCATTAGCATGGGGTTTTTACAGCAGTAATGCTGAGATTGTGCTCTTTTTCAAATCTGTAAAAAAAATTGACCAGGGTCGAAAAACGACTCATTTAGCTTGATTGCATCACAATTGATGAAACAGCAATTAGGTGATTACTAAAACCTTGTAGTTTGTGTTTCTTATTTACAAGGTACTCATCTTTCTGACTCACCCTGTTGCTTTGAAAATTTGACATGTCCTAGCAATAATCGGCTACATATACATGGCATTTTTGCTGGTACTTTGCTATACTCTAGATTTCTGTGATCAGCACATTTTTGTGCATTGCAGCCCCAAGAAATGACGCCACAGAGGACGGCACTAGTAGTCCGTGGGACGAGAGGCCGAAAACGCTTTAGTTTTCGAGATACGCGATCTGTACCATATCGAAAAACCTTTGTTCCCCGATTCACAGTTTGTGTTCTTGCCTTTCAAGTGTGAGAACAATAAAAAATACTCGCGTCAGTCCGCCCGAACTCGGAGTCGGACGGCCATTGCGTGAGAAAAGGTTTCTGACTGTGTCAATAGGGGGCGCTGTTTCTTATGTTTTTTCTCATGTAGAATTTTCAGCGTTTTTATCCCAGATTTTCTCACTCCCAAACAAACTGTGGATAGAGGAACAAAGTGTTTTCGATATGGTACACCATAATCTACATGTCTGTGAAGTTTTATAAAATTCGGCGAACCAGACCGCGTGGCGAGCGAAAAAAAAAGGCCTCGTCCCACGGACTATAGTTTCCAACTATGGATAGTTTCCAACTATGGATAAATTCAACAAATGGCCTACATATGGAACTTTAATACACTATAAGGCATGTTTTTATTGTTTACTTTCTTATCTATTCACAAATCACATTAGCCTGGTATGGTCCATTATCTACCTGTGTATCCTAATTTAACCCTGGCAGCAAGAGGTCCAGGCCCAGGCTTAATACTACATGTACATGTACACATCCATACTTGACAGATTTTTTATTTGTATGATACAATATAAAGTTTCACAAATCCCTGAGAAGGTGGAGATATACAAATGTTCTGCCTTGTTTATTCATCAGCGAAAAGGTACGTGTACGCAATATACTATTACAAATCATCCAATGCTTTGCTGAATCAGACACTGACAAAAGGCTACTGTTAATGTTGCTACAGCTGGTATGATAGGGTTGCTTTGTTGCGTGGTTGGGGAGGGGGTTCAACAGAAGAACAGTTTTTTTTCTCTGAATTTTTAGACAAAGTGGAGCAACTTATCCATAGTCATATGGTTGCAATACAGATTGTTATGTCTGAATATATCTGGACACATAGCAAAATAATGTTGCAGTTTTTGGGGAAGATAGTTTAATAGTTCTGATTTCTAATAAACTTTTGACATTTCAGAACCTGAAACGTTTAATAACCTGAGTGATTAACGTGATGGAAAATCAATGATTTATAGATTTAAAAGATACAATTTTCAGGTTTAAAATTGTGTGCCTTGATAAGTGGTCCAATCTAAATGCAAAAAAAAATTAAGAACAAAATCTGACATTTATGATTTTGTACATTAACAACTGAGAAGTAAAAACTTTCAACTGAAAGTGAGAGCCCATTAACAAGTATAAGTGAACCATCCAATGCTGGTGGCTGTCAATTTTTTGTCAACGTCATTGTAAATTTTGTTATGGAATGAAATAAAAAAATTACACAAAGAAATTTGATCACAATAAAGGTTTACATAAGAATCTGTAAAAGTCCTGCAAAACTAGAAGTGCTTTATCATTTACAAATTTAAATTTTGGAAATACTTGAAGCAAGCCTGACAGAGTATCATCCTTTGCCAGAGTGTGCTCCTAGAGATCACAGCTAATGCTCACTAGGAGATTTTTCTTTCTCTGTGGCTTCTGCTCTGGATCTGCCCTCAGTACATACATGTACTGTGCATGGTTGTTGGTCAACATCTGGCTAAATTAACCAACACTAAAACTGTCAGGTGATACATGTAGGAAACTAAAGAACAAATGTGTTTTTGAATATGCATTACATACATGATCGGTATGAACTACACGTAAACAACAAGTTACAATAACCTACATGTGTGCTGGCTTTCATTTGGTCATCTACATAAAAATTAAGTCAAATTTTACTACGTATTGCAAGTGTGTAGATTCAGGACATCGAAACCTACACGAGCTTTTAGCTGAAAATGTGATAAAAACTTCATATATGGAATTACAGCTAGGGGTGCCTGATTCAATATGGTTGTGAATTTGTGTGAAAGAAGATCTCATCCTCTTTCTTTTTGTTCACCCTGCTTTTCATTTTCAAGAAATAACAATTTTGCCCTTCACAGTTTTATACATACATGTACCGTAGTGTACAAGATGTATTTCACTCACGTATTTTGCCATAATGGAATTACTAGACAATGCCCTATGATGTTCTAGCCATTTTGAGCAATAGCTTGGCTAACAGTATGCAAAGAGTTAATGTACTTTGAAACTTTTTTGTCTATGACAGCTACTACTCTACCATTAAACGGCAAACTATTGAGAGTCCATGGCATTTTTTCATTGGGACGGAGGGGAGCTGTAAATACAATGTACGGTACATGTTTTTTGTAGATTTTCCTAACCTAAAGAATGAATAAATGAGTGAGAAAAAAAGGTAATATCATCTGACAAATATGAAAAAAGGGGTCCAATAATTTGTCCTAATGACATCAAATGTGGAAGGCTGAATAACAAGACAGTGAAATAGTTCAAGATGTCTGTGTGTACATTATATGATTGCAAGCCTTTATCTAAAATATACTTTAAGCCAGCAGAAATGTATCTAATTTGTATTATTTTCTTTGTAAACTATATTTTTATGAGGAAACAGTTATATGCTGTTTTTTCTCCACTAAAAACTGAAGAAGAGACTGAGTGGCCCAATCCAAGTTGTTGCTTGATGTCAGAAACCCAAAACATAGCTTCAGATGGAAAAGGCCTGTTTCCTTTTACTTTTTCAATTGTGAATATTGTTGGAACAGAACTTAATGATAATGCTGATCTATGGAAATTTACATTGGATCTTAATGCAGTGCTGTTTTTTTCTATAAAAAGATCTCAGAGGTTTTTTTTATGACATGTTCTATTAAGCATATGGCAGGAAAAAAAATGAAATTGAGCCTCAAAAAGTTGGGGGGGGGGGGGGGGGGAATCTCTAGACATTACAAGGACCAATGCTACCATTCCGGATAACAAAACAGGATTCAAACAATAAATCCCAACAACACATTTGTCCATAGCCCGACTGCGTCTGGCTGTACAGTACTATCGCAAGCTCTGTAGTACGGCCAGACGCTCAATGCTTCCACACAGACTGAATTTTTTTTCCCTCTGATGTAGCGATTTTGCTACAGATTTTGATCGAGATTATCTTTTCATCCAGGACACAAATTTCTTAGTCGTAGAGCAACTCATACCTTTTCGAAAAAACGTTCTTTGGTCTCAATATTTTCATCCATTTGGCCAAAAGACAACTTTCAGTCATCATCTTCCACAAATATCGTCCCGAAAATGCTCCCCCATGCGATTTCAAAATGGCGGCCGCGCTGTAATGTATGCATTATGCGGGTGCGCTTGGGCAAGATAATGAATATGCATTATTTAGTTCATGACCTCGTGTTTGTATGGCCAGCCGCGCCGGAAAAACGTCATAAACTATGATGCATATTCATTATCTTTGCCCAAGCAAGCCCGCATAATGCATACATTACAACGCGGCCGCCATTTTGAAATCGCATGGAGGACATTTTCAGGACGATATTTGTGGAAGATGATGACTAAAAGTCGTCTTTTGGCCAGATGGATCAAAATATTGGGACCAAAGAACGTTTTTTCAAAAAGGTATGAGTTCCTCTACGACTAGGATTCTTAACTTTGGATATTTCTGTCCTGGACGAGAAGATAATCTCGATCAAAATCTGTAGCAAAATCGCTACATCAGCGGGAAAAAAAATTCAGTCTGTGTGGAAGCATTGAGCGTCTGGCCGTACTACAGAGCTTGCGATAGTACTGTATGGCCAGACGCAGTCGGGCTAATTTGTCCATTTCTCTACTCCTGAAAGAAAACAGGCTAGTAATGTGTCACATAGTAAATGTACACACATACATGTATATGTTCTGTAGTCGTGGGGACTACACAGCAGTTGCGTGACAAGTTTTGCAATGTTTACTGTAGTGGTGTTCATTTATGGATAGTACGAGAGCCAGGTACCAGTACCCTATTGAAGTAATACACGGGTACCCGTATTAAAAGAAACCAAACCCCAAAATGCAAATCCTGGAAGTTGTCTGAAGGGCTTTATAACTTTATGGCGTAAATTGCAACTTTCGCAAGTGTCATCTGTCGTGTGTTAAAATCTGTTTTGTTTTCCATGTATGGTAGCCTGCTTTCCATTTTAACATTCAAAACCTTTCTTTTTCATTGTCTGAGAAGTTACTAAGTAATTTGTAAAGTTGGTTAAGAGTAACCGATCCTGTAATCTGGAACCGGTTCCTGACATCAGCAGTTAGGGACTCGGGGACCTCAGTTCCTATGCACACCCTTGGGTTGCTGGGACACTCATAAGTTTCCACAATGCAGTTCCTGCAAGGGTGTATACATGTATACCGACCCATCCAAACTGTTTTAAAAAAAAAGTCCCCTGCAAAATATTAAAAATTAAAAAAGGAAAGGAATATAATAGAGGAAGTCTCTCTGGCCCTGTGTCTTTAGTTGGTGGATGTTTAGTGACAGTAAATTGGTCCTTCTTGTACAATACACCAAATTATAAAGAGCTAGGGATCCCAACATATTCACTACATGCCAACTGAATGACTAAAAAAAAATTGATAAAAGTGTGCCCCTGGCGAGGGAAATCCGGAGTAAGCAGCTCCGGAAATTTGCCGTCATCCGTCCAGTGGTTCGCCGAGGTACACCATGGTCACTTCTGTGTTCCCGTAGACGGCCGATATCGCCGGGAATAGTTGCTCGTCTGGAAGACCGCGGAAGGCCACACCCAGAAACTCGTAGCCCCGCTCAAAGGCCAGGTAGTTGTCTTCCATGTCTAGGATAACCCGTATTTTGTCACCGACCTGGAAAATGTGGATGAAAGAGAGAACTGAATGATTTATGATGGAATGAATAATTTTAATATTCAGTTTTGCCTTACAGTTACAGTCGGATGTACATTGTAACATGTACACTCAGTGGTATTCCAGAGATTACAATCGTGATTGAACCCATGACCTCCTGCTTACTTGTGGAGACATCGTAATCACTTGGACACCAGGCTATTTCCTGCTGGATTGTTCAAAGAGAGAATTTAAAATCTACATGTACATGTATGTTAATGGAGGGGGCATTGTGTGTCATGCTGTGTATCACAAACAGATTATTTCCAACAAAGTGTTTGCATAACGATATATTTAGGAGGAGGCTCTCAAATAAAAAAACCTCTTGTCAAGAACCCATTTTACTGGTAGTCTGACATGCGTGTACTCAGGACCAGATCACCCAGGCTAACCAGTTCGCATCGGAGCATTGGAGGAAGTGATTACATGCACTGGCTGTTTCTATACACAGGCACGGCTGACGGGTTAAGACGTCAAAATTGCATCGACTCGCTAATTCCTCGTGTCTTTTGTACACACACACAAAGTCTGTGAAGTCTGTGGAGGCGGACCGTGTGTTGATCTTGAATTTGCCGTTGTGCACGGCCTATTGTTGTACAATACACACTCCAGTGCACACCCGGAGTATTGAAACATATAAGAAATATCGTACAAATACTGTTGACATGACTCTTGCAAATCAGGATTTGTGGCGTTTGGATGCTGCATACATATATATCAGAAGTTGGCTGGAAAATTTTGCCTTTTGCGAAATATTGAAATTTTTGGCAAAAACAATCCCGCCGCAAAGTGGTTTTAATTGCATTGCTCTTATAGTAGCTGGGCTTGGTTCATGCCACAGCATCATGTACATGTACATACGGTACATTTAAATGTAACATTACAACATTTGCAAACATTAAAAAACAAAACTACCAAATTATATGAAATACCTTACTTGACTGTAAGTGAATAATAGTCTCAAGCATGCGAAATCATGGCACTCAGTGTTCTGTCATTTTCAAGAAAAGTGGAACTTTTGTATCAATTTCCAACGATCGTCAGCCGATCGATGCATCATTGGAAAAAAACTGACTTTTTTTTCAAATACTGCCCCAAATTTACAAGATTTAGTTAGTTCACATTTTGTTTGCAATCGGTCACTCATCCGTGAACGGGTGCAAGCCAACTAGTCTGGTTCCCTGACCTGACAATTCCCCAACGTGTATAAATTGCTCCATTTCGTCGGACGTCTGAAGTAGGGTCAGGAACTAGACTACAAGAAGAGCATTTTTGTTCTTGGTTTTTCCTACATCTATAAACACAAAACTTTGAACAGGTCAGTGTAACAATATTTGCTTTAAAATACTGACCCCCAAATCCATCCATTTCTGAAAATTACAGCAAAACTGAATGTTGTATATTACCTTTGACATCCGCTTATAACATCTCATAAATTAACCAAATGATGAAATCTTCTGATTACAATCGTATTAATCAGTCAGAATTCAGGGATCCTGAACGTGATTCCTCACAATTATCAGCCCTATTACTGAACAATGCCTCAGTTCAAATTCTTTACCAAACGCTCCCCAGAGTATTGATATGGGGTCATAACACCCTCCCCCCACTCCCCTCCCTCTTTCCTATTAAACCATCAAAATTATTCGGTGAAGCCCTAGGCAGCTAGCGACGACCTCTAATCATCCAAAATGGTAATCCTTTTGCCACAGGGGGTATAGGTACATGTACATTCCGAAGAGTTTTAATTATGGAAAATATGGTAACAAGAATAGTGGCGCCTTGAAAATGAAATTAGGATAAAAAAATGTTCGAGGGTCTTTTCCTGGCACATATACATTTTTACAGTCTACACGTACATGATACTGGTTCCTATGTTTAATCTTTTGGTTCACTAAGCATGCATTTATGAAGGGAGAATGTCAATCGTGCATGTACACATGGAGAATGGAGGAGTCACATGTACATGTAAGTAAACATTAGTAAAGTTTTTTTTGGGGGGGGGGTTAGGGGAGGGAAGTATTGTTTACATTCTGGAGCGTTATTTGTTTATCATTTTAAAATTATTTGTACTATTTACCAGTGTTTTCATGTGTGGTTATGATATGCATATTTGTCCAGTATTATAATGCTGTAGATAAAACCTAGTTTTCCCAAATCATTTACAACCAGTCTATTTTTGAAAGACTTCTCAATCCCCATCAGATAACTTAGAAAAAAAGTCTCCCGGTATTTAAACAAACAAGAAATGAATTGCCATGGAAACTACAGTTGCGAAATCCTACCCAGGGCAGTCACCCTTTAAAAGGCTACACTACTGAGGCCGTTATTATCACGCCTCTACTCATCGTGCTCAATGTGATTATTTCTTATTGCTGAATAACACGCTGATGCCCAGGCCACACAGACTTTAAGTCTGCAGCCAATAGGCTGGGCCCCGAGGCTCAGTGGAAAGTGAGTTGGGAGAGAAGAGAGAGGATTGCCCAGAACTCATGGGTCAGTGATTATAATGGACATGTACGCGTCTGAACGAAAACACGGAGAGCGGCGATTTGTCTCCACTGTACAGAGTCCCCGAGTCTGTAAAAGTGACGAGCTGCTCCAATGGTGCCAGTGCTTATGAATGAACAATGCAAGCAAAACACGCATACACTATGCATGAACGTATTGATTTAAAACTATTGAAAACTAAATATGCAGGAGCAACATCCAGAAATCTGAGCTGTGATGAAGTCATCACTGATTAATTAATCACAATTTAAGTACCGGTACATCACAAGTCCAGTGACAAGTGACAAGCTACCGTATACCGGGTACATGTACTCGAATGGCATTCCTGAATCACTGTTGTTCTTCCCTTTTTACATGTCAATACATGTACAGTACTTGTGACAGTACATGTATCTGACTTTAACTTTAAGACAACTTTCTCAAGTACATGTTTAAAATTAAGGGTACACATACCAGTAGTACATATACTACGTACCAGTACATGTCAATGTAAACAAAATTTGGCAGTACGCCCATACTTGACATAACAATGTCCGAGCTGTACAGGTGCTGGATTTTGGAAAATAAGGGATAGAGGCTCTACATGTAGAAATGGTTAATAACACCCCTATAGCGCAATTGAACTTTATGATTTTAGTTTTTTCTTGCACTATTTGCACAAATAACACATCAACAAAATCGCACCTCGGGCATACACTGTGCATACATGTACATTGTACATGGACAGGTACAATACCGGTACAGTTGTACACTTACATTATAGAACACTCAATGAGATATTGTTCTCTCCTTATTGGGTCAACACCCTTCGTCCAAGTTCTGAGGTGGACTAGCGTGAATTCAATCTCCAACTTACAACACGAGGAGAGTCACGGGAGAGTCACAACTAGTAGACAAGCTGACGGCAGCATCATTACCATGCACAGCCACGGCTGGCCACAAGCATCACTGTCTGCCCTCCCTGTGGAGACTCCAGGAACAGACGACGCCTGACTAACATCATCAAAACCATACAGCAAGGATAACACACAAGAATTGTTCAAAGTGCTTTTTTCCCCTACTTTTTACAAATAGGCAAATTGACATGCAATGCCACACGTCACAAGTTTGTTTTTTTCTTTTCATCTGCCGCCAACTTTGTAAAAAGAAAGACTTATCTCTTAGCCACTGGCTCTTAAAAGCCACTTGAGGTTTACAGACTTCAGACAAAAAGATAAATATTGAGGAAAAAACAACTGTCTCACAATGGTGGTCAACCACCTGATGCAGACACACATGTACCGGTATACATGTACATCCTCCATACAACAAGACATGTGCAGATATTAACCCTTAAGTACTGGACCAAGTCCGCCAAAATCCTTCAATCCCACTGCTTCCAATGCACGCTTGAAACTTTAAAACCACCCACGCGACGGGCTTTCGACCAATAGAAATAAGGGAATAAATGTGTACTTGGCCAGTATTAAACAAGTACGTTTAAAACCGCCTTAGGGCCTGGCCGCCGATAACGTCCCTCGCCAAATCCTTCATAAATATCTTTTAGGTCAAGAAGTCAAAACAAGTCAAAAATTATAAATTTCCAACGATTTTGTTCAACAATTTTACTTGTTATGGTACATGTATGTGCCTCTCGCGAGTAGTACTAAAAATCTCCTCAGATGGAGATTGGCACGCGCGTGGCGCGTCCTATGCGATGTGGCGCAGAACACGGCAGTGCCAGTGTAGTATGAATTGAGGACTCTATGAAATACGGACTCATTGGTAGTATTGCGCATGCCGAAGTGAAGATTGTGAACATTCAACCAATAGTAAAGGGTTAAAGGATCCAGATTTCATAGGAGTACCTGAACCAGCCAGCCGGTGTTTTATCAACCATATATAACACCACCCAAGTGATGGGCTCTCGACCAATAGGAATCTGTCTTAGATATTTATGAATTGCATGTGACTTGCTCTTTGGTGTTTTTTTGCTCCAAGGGTGTACTTACTAAGTTATTAGTCTCTACATAGCAGATACTATAGACCTTATTTGCGAAGAAGCCATTTTTGATCGTGTTCCCTGAATCTCTTTTATGAATTGTAAACTGTTGAATGGGATGGTGCCAGACTACCGGTTTTTTTTATGATTGGAGTGCGTTCGAAGCCTCACTTTCAATTTTTTTTTAACCCTAACCATCCCAAATCCTCCAAAATCATCTTTGCGAATTGGAGGAATTTGCAGGATTGAGGCTACATGGCAAAAGTGTGTTGCTGATTTCGGAGGACACACTGTGTCAAGGTCTTGGTCCGGACCTTGTGTTGTTTATGCTCAGCCTAGCATAAATTTGGGTCTTGATTATGCTTGAAGTCCTCCACACTGCTCCAGGATGTCACTGGCTCTGCCTCAACATATTGACAGTCACTGCCGCAGGATTTTGCAGGATTGAGGTTTTATGCTATTTTTACAT